CCCCAAAACCCCAAAACCCCAAAACCCCAAAACCCCTATATAGTCAAAGTATTGAACAATACTAGCATAATTATTAGCAAAAATGGAAGAAAATAAATATATTCACAATGAACTCGATTTATTCAGTAACCCACCAAATATCATGGAGGTAGACGAAGAAAATGGAGGCCCGCAGGTTCACTCTCAAGTTGATGAGCATGATTCCAATGATGATTTCATCTGTGGAGATAGCGGATTTGATAATCTACGTTCTGAAAGTTACTTTGACGACCAACATGGATTTCCTCAGATCGTCTTACAGAATAATACTGTATTCAACCGTCTTTTTAGAGAGGACTCTCAAGAAAATTACTTAGGAAATCAATCCGACAATAAAGACTTTAATGAAGAAGATGTAGACGAATTCTTTGGCAAGGGTTCACCGAATAATGGAAAAACTTCAAAGTAGGACAACATTAGGATTTCTCGAACGGCTCAACCATGAACTTCTATAAAATTCCAGATTTTTGCCTTTTACTTTTTACTCAAAAATTTACCAATTTTTGTTGATTTCTTACATATTTCCATATAGAGGCCAAATAATCTCTTCTAATGGATCAGAGAGGACATACATCCAAGGAAGCAGCGATAGCAACTCTCAAAATGGAGCAAATATTAGTGTATCAACGAGGAAGCCCAGCTTTAACGAAGAAGCTACTCAAAAGAAGAAAGATCAGATGAAGAAAACCGTAAATAAAATCAGAGCCAAAAAGAGAGAACAGAAGAGGAAAAGAAGAGATATTGAAGCTGATGATTATGAAAAGTCCAGCTCTAAAGAATCCACAACCACACTCTCTGAAGAAAAGAAGTCTAATAAAATAACTCCCCAAAAGAGAAAGGGAACTATCTGGAAGATCTTGTTCCCTAATAAAGCTTATGATGATAAAAAGTGTGAGCTAGAAAGACTAGTTTGTGGTCAGGTTGAGAGCCAGATCTCCCAAAATCCCAAGGTGATTGAATGCTATAATCAATTAAAAGCATTTGAAAAGTCTAAAGAAGCTAAGAATATGACCAAAGGAGACTTTACTAAGCAGAAGAATAGAATTTCTGCTCAACTCAGCCGTGAGAGAAGAGAAGCTATCATGCACTCCTTGATTAATGTGTGAATCAACAATATTAAAGGCAAGAAAGAGCTTGATGCTGATATTGAGGAAGTTAAGGCTGTCCTAAAAGAATCATTATGCGACACTTGTACTAAGAATTTAAGTGGAGCTCAATGTACTCCTAAAAGACCATCCACAGTTAACATCAAAGCTTCAAGCTCAATGAATTTTAATCAGAAAAAGAGTAATCCTGCTCTTACTGTGAGCAGACCAGGAGCATGGGGTTTACTTATGTCATTTGCAGTGATTGCATGAGTATTTGGAGTTGCCTTCATGGGTTCAGAGAATAATCAAAGACAACTAACAGGAGGATTCGATTCAGGAGACAACTACCCTCTCAGACAGCTAAAAGAAATCAATATCGAGCCTACTAGTATGATGAGCTATATCAGCCCATCAGACATTAATCAGAAAAAGACGATGACTAATCTTTTGAGGTAAGCAAAAATTAACAATTTAATTTAAGACACGTGTAAATATTTAGTAATTAATGATCTCTGTTCAATGATCTCTTAGAGCTTTTATGGTGGTAGTCTAAGGAAACAAGTGTTTGTACTTAGTATACCTCATCAGGAGTTGTAGTGAGAACGTAGCCTTCCCTTTATTCTCTTTTACTTTCTCCACTCAGAAAATTAAATATAACAATTTTATGCTCACGATCTTTACGTGTCATTATCTTAGAATTTATACCAATTTGACAGAAATACTGTTGTTTGGGACGAATAAATTTGCAGTTAGATAACACTTTGTTCTAAGTCCAAAACAAAGATATTTTCCTGCTCTGATTGAATCATACACTAACTCATTCTATTAATGATTTTGGTCGACTTTAAAATTATTAGTCTCACTCTTCTTTCTAGTAAAGCCAAAAACACATATTTGAACAGAGAAACAGAATTAGTGGAAAGCGCTGCTCTATACAACAAAATTGACTTCTCTAACTGTGGAAGCAAACTCAGAGTAGACCCTTCAACTCTTGTTGAACAGCAACCAGAATTCCAAAATATCAACTTTAAGTTGAACAACTTAGAAGATCAAAGAAGAAGCAAAGAGGCTTCTTATGATTCTGGGATGAACAGAGCCTTACCTTCTTCAAATGAAGAAAAGAACCTTCCTGCTCCAATATCCCTTGTAAGAAACAAAACTGAAGAGCCTACAATGCTGTGTGGAGGGTCTGACTTCCTCTCTCAAGGAAACTTATTCCTCCAGAAGGATGAGTGAAACAACTTTAATGTTTGGGTCCCTCTAAATGCCCTTGCTAAAAGCAACCAGGCTTCTGAATTGCTAAACTCTCTTGGCATTCATACAATTTCTAATGCCATTTACGAGACAGACAGTTTCATTGAGTTCAAATGTGCAATTGATAGCATCAATTTGATCTCAGGGAAAGACTATGGAGTGAAACCATCTCTTTAAAACAGTATAAAATTACTCATGACGCCAATATATATTGATAAAATTCAAATTCTCAACTCTTTTCCTTTGAAGTGGGGTTTTGGGGTTTTGGGGTTTTGGGGTTTTGGGGTTTTGGGG